AAGTAAGCATATTCTAGCTCTCATACTTTGTGATTTTTAACTCGTAGTCTACTATGAGAGTATTGATTTAAGCATCGGAGCGACCTCGCCGGGCTAGCCACCTCAGGTCCTCTGACATTGGTTCCTCGCAGGTTTCTAAAGAACTATGAAGCTCAACAATTAATCCAGCTTGCCACCAGCCAGCTTGACACTTTGGTCAGCTTGGCACCTAATAGGCAGTTCGACACTCTGGTTAACTCGGCACCTAATAGGCAGCTCGACACTCTAGTCAGCTCGTCACCTAACCTGCCTAGCTCAGCTCAGTCAGTTCGTCACCTAACCTGCCTAACTCAGCCCAGTCAGTTCGGCACCTAACCTGCCCAGCTCGGTCTAGTTAACTCGGCACCTAATCTGCCCCCAGCTCAGACCAAACGACGAGGTACTTAGTACAAAAAATTGATACATCACCAAAAAGTTGATTCATCAATTATTTTTTATTATGATTTGTCCATAAACCCTAAATGTATTGTAGATATATAGTTGATCAATCGATCAATCTATCATATCCATAGATCATTTGACATTTATCATTCAAATATGTTTTTTTTTATTTTTTTTAATTCTATTAAAATATATTAATTTAATGTATATATCTCATTAAAGCTTTATATTTAGTGTTATTGATGTATTTTCATATTATATTGAAGTTTTTATAGTGTTCCTATGTGTATTTATGTGTATCTTAATTTTTCTCTGATACGCATGCGTATCCAAGGCGTATCTCCATGCATATCTTAAAATTGCCTTTTCGATACGCTAAGTGTGTTCGATACTTTGAACCTTGATTATTAGCAAACCTACTATTGCCTCCCTCCTTTTTGGCTAGGTTGATGTCGCATGCATGGGATCACCATGTACAAATGTGATTTACCAAAATCACACCAATCAAAACCATGGTTTTCAAAATCGACTCGGAGACCAACCCGGTCAAGGGTCCGGTTACTGGGTCAAACGGTCCGACTGTTCGAACTGAATGGTCAACTCGTTCTGGAAAAAAAATAATAATAAAAAATAGAAAGCGGTCAAAACTGTTGGATGGTTCGAATGGTTAAACCGCCCAGGTCAATGGTTTGTTGACTAAATCAACATTTTTTTGCAAAAATCCGATTTTGGGGAAAAACAGAACCTGTTACCAGTCCGATCTGATTTTGAAAACCATGATCAAATCAAAGTAGATTTATGTATCAATAATCTTTGTGGAGGATGATAAAAGGGAAATTTCTACATCATCCTACCAAGCCATTATCACACCTCCCGAAAAGATCTACTAGCTCCACCATGGTTTTCGAACTGTTGTTGACCCAGATGGTTGGACTATTCGGCTTGGGAGATGTCCATGAAATCAGTTCCATTTTACCCCAAACCCGGTCCCTGACAGAAAACCATTGAATTGGTCAACGACCCATTGACCCAAATGGTCAAACCGTCTACCTATCGATCCATTTAATTGTTTTTTGCCATTTTTAATTTTTAATTTTTATTGTTAGAACGGACCGTCCATTCAAACTGGACAGTTGAATCATTGACCCAGAAAACAATGGGTAGAACATTTCCATTTCGTTTTTTAAAATCATGAGCTCCACCTTAATGAAATTGATTAAGGGTGCATTTGGCATTTTTCTATTTTAAGGACTTATATTTTATGTTGCAGTTAAAAACTGTGTTTACAAGGGCATTTTAATGGTAAAAAGGAGATAAGTGCTTTTATGGAATGCCAAATGCAGCCTAAACCAAAGCCTTGCAATAAGAACAAAATTTTGGGCTGATGTGATCTGAAGACTGAATTGCTCCCTCAAAGAACAAATCATGGGATTACCCGAGTCATCAATAGTCCCCCAGCATGAGCCAAGTGTTAAACAAAAAACATGATTGCAGCTGAATCTCAAGTGTTAAAAACTAAAAACTAGTCAAATCTCCTCTTCCTCCAAGTCATGGTTACCGGTTACCACTCTTGATGCGTTACTAGTTACAGGTGTAAAGTGGGCCATGTCGGGCTGGCATGACACGGCCCATGGGTGGCCCATGTTAAAGGCAGGCCGTGCCATGCTGGCCTGTGGGCCGTCACAAGTCGTGCCGCCCTACCTGGTGGAAATTTTGGGGGTTGGCCCGGCACAGCTCACGGCCCAGGCCCAAGCAGGCCCATGTCATGTCGTGCCATGCTACAAGTCAGGCTACATGCCATGCCGTGGGCTTGGGCCATAGGGCGGGCCTTGGGCGTGGGCCGAACCGAGCTAGACTCACTAAATGACTGAATGGATTATGGATATCAGATTATTAGGACAGGTTACAAATAATAATGAATTTACGAATTATGATTTTCCAAAGAATAAATAAATAAAAGTATAGAACAATTCAAATAGGAATTTAAGAATTTATTTCATTTAAATTTGAATGAATAATGATACAAATTACAAAGCATACAATTATACAAATATTGAAATTATGAAATATACAATGGTTGGATACTTCATACTTGGATGAATGAAATATGAAAATGGAATAAATTAATAAAATATAAAAAATACAATATAGAATTATAGACTATATAGACTATATAGTTACAAATTGAAAATACAAAATTACATTAATAACAAATAAATTAAACAAAATCTATAATAATTTGACAAAATAAAAAATTGTGGGTTATTTCTTAAAATTTACAATTTAAACAAAATTTACATATACATTATGATGAAAGCATTCACACACACTTTCATCATCTGCTTCAAGTGAAAAATGAAATATCTGGTGTATGTAATAGTATCATGCCTTCCTTTGTCTTGTAATTGTAAAGTTGTAATCTATATTCTTCATTATGATTCATGACTGCATCTAGCCAACCCTGGTACAGTGGTAGTGTGGTATCTGTAGGTCCTGCACTAAAACAACTAAGCAAGACTCCGATGGAACTGTAGCCTGTAGGCACCGGAGGGGTTAGTAGATCACGGATCACGTAACATGGGCGGGATTGGCGGCGAGAAATGTTCTCTAAGACTCTGACTTCTCCCAATATTTTTAAAATTTATTTTCTATTATTTCAAAAATTCATTTAAATTGTGGGTTATTTCTTCTTCTTTCTCATGTGTGAGAAAATGTCTGGTCAAGTGGCTAGTACCACCCTTGCTACAATAGCTAAAGTCTTTTCTACATTTTTGGCAAACTGCTCTTTTCCTCTTCCCCTTATTTTAAATATTCTCCAAATCAGGCTACTAAACTTGAGGTTTTGGGAAGAGCTGGCCATTTTTTTTCAAATTCTAAAAAATAAAATTAATTTAATTGGACTTACCCCGGATTGCCAGTTTAGAATCCCAACGTGATTTCAACGGTTAAAGCCTTTCAATGTGACAACGTCCAAGGCTCCAAGCCTCCAAAATTTGTAACTTGGAGAATCAAACAATTAGCCAATCAGACTATGAGACTATCAGAGTTCACTCAGATTACAGAGAATGTATGAGAGACTGAAAGAGACTGAGAGACTGAGTGACCGAGAGAGGAAAGACTGAAGAGATTAAGAGAATAACTTAATAAGTGAATTGTTGAATTGGTGTAATGAGAATGGTGGAGGATAGGACTATTTATAGGAATTGCCGACTACTGAATTGAACATAATTCAATTGCCCAAAATACCTAAAAAACTAGTTGTTGAAAGGGGTATTTTGGTCATTGTAAAGTTATTTATAACTTTACCCAAAAAGCCCCCCTAAACTAGTTGTTATATAGCTGTTGGGGAGCATTTATGTCATTTTCTTAACCCCATGTAAGTAAAATACACAAATACTCCCCTAATATGGTTGTTTATAACTGTTGGGGGGTATTTCTGTAAACCGCACTAAAAGTTGAAACTAGCCGTTAGGCCCTTTTGGGAGGGGGGGGGCAATGATTATATTCCGGGTTGTGTCGCGTGTCATACTGGCCCATAGACCTCGAACCCCCGGCCCAGTATGGCACAGACCTTCATGCCGGGCCTAGCATGACCCGTGGGCCTTCATGCTGTGCCGTACCTAACCAGTCCAAAATCGTGCCGGGCCACGGGCCCGGCCTGATTTACACCTATACTACTAGCTTCTCTCCATGACCTCTTTTCTTAGGATGGAGCTCCGTAGGTTTACAAGATTCCTTTTCCTACGACAGTACCACCCCCTCTAATCAATTTTGTCTCCACTGGTTCTTAGTGATCCAGTCTTCAGATCAGTTCAAAGGACCCAACAGATTATCCTGTCACCATTCGATCCTGGCCGGGTTGGGGTCCATAGTGAACCTGGGGCTCATGTGGCAACTTTTCAGTCACTTCAGCCGTTATCTAACAGACAAATGACTCCTCCCAATCAAACGCCACTCCATTGTGATCAATTGATGCAAGTTGCTACATGTGGCAACTTTGAAACCTTAGATCTGCAAGACTAGGTTTCATGACGATCGATCTGAATCGGACCAACGTCTAGATGAGAATGCAATACACATACACCCCACTGAATCACTCCCTTGTTAAGTCATCTAGTCCACGGTCCGGAATCTCCGGATATAATAGTTTCTGGTGGGCCCCTTGATAGCTATGGCTTTACTACCCAAGTAAACATTAAACAAATCAGAACATCCTTGAAGTTGCAATGCTGTCAAGCGTGAAGATGGACCGTTTTGTAGTCCGATTTATAATCTATTTTTCCACGTGGCAACTTAGACACATCTCATGTGTACTGGCCAAGTGGAAAGTTGGCAACTCCATCCATTTCACACTCTTGCCACGTTGCACCTAAAAGGACCTTCACGTAGCAGAGCATTTAAACAAATCCGAGTTCGTTTGTCGGTTCCCTAGGCGATGACTTACCCTGAAAGTAATCCCTACGATTACTCATTTTACGAGTCGATTTTTGAGATTAACGGTGTATGATCCAAAGGACTCTTTAATACGAAGTTTCGTGAGGTACCAACTCAGGGCTTTTCAATAAACAAATTATGAAATTAGACCAAGCGGTGGAAGACCGGTTTCTCTTTGGTTACCAACTTAAGAGGACCTCCGCAGCTTGCTTTCTTTTCTCCGCAACCACTCACTCGAGCTTTCTTCATCTTTTAATGCTCTTGAGATCTGAGTTTCTTCGTTTTCAAATTAAGAAATTCGAAATTTAACAGGTACTGTAATGTTTTGCTCTCTAGTTTTACTTTTTTCGTACATTGATTGGCAATTTGGTTTCGTTATTGTCTGTTTTCTTTTGTTTGTGATTCAATGGTGGTTTTGAAATTAAATGGAGTGTTTGTTTTGGTTTTTATGAGGAAAGGATTCGATGGATTTGGCAACGAGTCAAGCGGAATTCGACTATTTGTTCAAGTTGTTGTTGATTGGTGACTCAGGAGTTGGAAAGAGTACTCTCCTTTTGAGTTTCACCTCCAATACCTTCGAAGATCTCTCTCCCACGATAGGCGAGTTTCTCCGCCAGATCTTCCGTAATGGGTTCTGTTTGTTCTTTTTCCATTCTCTAATTTGTATTTGCTTTTTGATCTGTACTCTGTAGTCGTCTTATACCTGTTAACTTGATTTTGCCAATGTTATTGCTTTTTCTGAATGTGTACTGGTGGGGCTAGGGAAAATTTCATGAGTTCTCCTTTGGGGGAATTGTTAGATCTTCGGCATTGTAAATTAGTAAAAATTGAATTTCAGTGAGTTTGATTCAGGAAGTTAGTGAGTGGAGTGGGCTATTCTACGTACCCTTGCAACAAGCTTGTAATTTATTCCTGTTAAGAGGTAAAATCTAGTCTGAAGTGCTTCTTGACACCTTTGGATGTTTCGAAGAACTTCTCCACTAGGTAAGGGAAAAGAATGTTATTTTTTGTCATTGATGAAGATAAAGGGGCCATTACTTGGTAAACTTGTACGATATGGGCTGAAAGGTGTGAGAATGCGAGTTTGAGTCTAATTTGAGTCTAAGAATAGCCACTTTATGCAGAAAATGTCAAAAGTTAAATTTTTATCCAATTCACGCCTCGCAGTACCCCAGATGGCTGATGTAGTTCAACCTTCTAAATCATTAGAAGATGAAACGAATGAACTTATAGAGAGATTTGAACATTCAAAAATATATGAAAGAAGGAGGAATCAATGTCTACCCATATTTGGAAGCTTACAGTTAAATTTTTATTTTAACCAGCTCTTTTCTGGGCAGTTCCTAGTTTCTCTTTTTTATTAGGACTCTAATTCAGTAGGTAAGAAATCTATAAAATAGATGTAGTAGGTGCTTGGCATCGATGCCATTGCTTCAGAGATGTTTTCTGTATGCATGAGGTTCTGTTGCACCATTTTCTCAGAAAACGGTCCTATTTTTTGTTTGGCACTGATGCTGCCACATAGGCTGTTTTCTGGGAAAACAACACTGGTTTTGTTTGATGCCGGTGCTGTATAACCATTTTCAGCATTGGTCTACATTCGTCATTGCACTGCTAACAGCAATAGGCTGTTTTCTGAGAAAACATTGAATTTGACGTTTCTTCATACCATACTTTCCCAATTTCCAAAGGCGTGGTTTCCCAATTTCGAAGGCGTGGTCTGGAGCAACGTTTTTTTCTGGAAAAACGATGCCAAATAAGAGGCCGTTTGCTGAAGCACCACTTCTTCTGACGTGGTACTGATGTGGCACCGCATCAATGCCAAACACCACCTTAAAGACTGGACATGGGGTGTCAGATTTTGAGGAGAAATAAAGTATTCCCCTCTATAGTCTTGATTTTTAGGATGTAAATTACTAACTTACTATGGATCTTTCAATCTTCAACCTTGTTTCAGACAGGAGCTTGTTAGACCTTGAGTTTACCCACTAACCCAAGGCTGACACTGTTTGGAGACTATAAATGTTTATTTTAAATAAAGTCTGTCCTAATCTCCCTGGCATTAATAGCCAGGACCAACATTGGGTATGGATAAGTACAGAATAATGTAAGTCTCTGCAATGATCAATTGCAGTTTGGCATGAATTTTCATATGAGAAATCTGGACATTAATATTTTATGGTCTGGTTTCTTTTAGACATGCACAAGAACCCTCAGGACCATGTCTGACTTTATCTCACCTTTATGTCTTATTGAGAGAAAAGAGATCTTAATTTGAAAAGAGTCAGGATTCTAGTGTGTGGTCCTAGTACTGGAAAGTTTTTTGGCTTAATAACCAACTCTCACTCACATAATTTGGATTATTGGTCTGGGAGATCAATAAATTAGCACGCATGGTTTTGAAAACTGGACCAGATCGGATGGTTGGACTGGTTGACCCAGGAACAGATCATGGGTCCAGGTCTGGTTTTAGACCCCAAAACCATCCAACCCAGGTTTGGACTGGACGGTCAGACCATTTGACCTGGGAACCGGTGCTCAAAATGGCACCGTTTACGGCCGGGTTTCGAAAACCGTGTTAGCACATATTAATATGTGAGGGCGCATTGTGAATGTCCAGGGAGAAGAAAGTTACAATTGATGTTACTTGTATTCAGTATTTGCAGTTTGATACCTGTTTGGCTATGACTGGATGCCTACGTGTTAGTTTGATTTAGTGCATTTCCCCAAAGTAATGTCTAAACGAACTGTATATTTATCTATTCTATGTGCACCGGTCTCCATATTATTTGATTGGTTAAGCAACAGAATGAGCAATTTTAGTTGTCTCTTTCCATTTATATGGATCATTACTTTTTCTTGTTTCTGCCATACCCTAATTTGCATTTCTTTTTCTCTTCTGGTCTCTGTAGGTGTGGATTTCAAGGTGAAATTAGTCAACATCGGAGGAAAAAAGTTGAAGCTTGCAATATGGGACACAGGTAAATGATTTCCTCTCATGGTTTATTTCTGTCTGTTTCCTTACATTTTTTTATCATTTACAGAATTCTTTGTGATCATCCTTACCTTCTAGAGCATGTGGTTTGTTCGCCATCAAAAAAGAAAAGGTTTTCCAGGTTTATGTTTTGAAGCTTACAAACCTTGATACAAGAAAACACCATGTTGCATTCTACATGATGTAATCAGATGTAGGATGTAGTCTATCCAAAAAAAAAGAGGAAAAATGAAATGTAGGGTTGTACCTCCTCATACATCTTGTGAGTTGGAATAATAACTTGTTGTTAAGTGTATGGAAGAAAAAGGAGGAAGTAGGTGATTATTATGGGGCTGTTTGGCAAGTCTTTCTAGGTAGATCTTTCAACAGCCCAATAGACAACTGGGAAGGCTATTTTCAACACAGAAAGACCAAAAGCTACATTTGAACCTTCTCGATTTTTGGCTTTTGGTCTTTCTGTGCGCTTGTCTTCGAGTCTTTCAGTCTACATGATACCAAATGGAAAATACCACTTTTTAGTCTTTTGAGCTTTCAGCAGACTGAAGGACGTGTTGAAAAGATGCACCAAACACCACCTATATTATTGCCTTTCTCTTTCTGTAGTCTTTGAGTAAGTTTCTAAAATAACATTCTTTAGAGTACAGCAAAGATAAAGTATATAGTAACAACTAAAATGACTTTGCCAGCCCCATGAGAACTACAGTTGAGAATTCAACTAGGATCCACCTCAAATTGGCTTAATAGATGGCAAGATCCAATTGTTGGTTATGAATAAAATTTGTTGTTCGTGTTTCTTTTCAAGTTGCTAAATGAATAAAATAACATTTTTTTTGATAATTAATGAATAAAATAGCATTCTTGTTTGCTAAATGAATAAAATTTCTTGATCAAACATAAGAGTCTGAACTGTTTGTTAGATGATGTTGCTTTCTTGTTTGTGTTTCTTTTCAAGTGACCAAAGTGAGAAACATGCATATTTGTCATTTTCGCTTAGCCTTCCTCTGGAGGTAGAAAAAACTATTTGTCACTATTACTAAGTTTATCTTCTATTTCTTAATGCAGCTGGTCAAGAGAGATTCAGAACGTTAACAAGTTCATACTATAGAGGAGCACAAGGGATCATAATGGGTATCGTATTTCCCTTTCCTGCATCGCTTTTTCTATCTATCAGACGTGCAATTTGTTTTTTAATTATTATTTTTTGTTTTCTTTGCCTTGCTTTTCTGTTTATTGTTTTATACTTTTATATCATACTCCATTTTGTGGTCATTTTGGTTCCTTTTGTTTTAAGGGTATACACAAATGCTATCTATTGACAGAACATGTGAAATAATAATGGTTATCTCTAGTATTCTTTCTTTGTCACATTATGATCTTGCATGCATTGTAATTAGAGTCTAGTTCTCTACCACTCAACCCTTTCAAAGTTGGGTACATAGTATTGCATCATATCATGTATCTAGTGAATCTAGGATAGATCAAAGTACCGATGCATCTATTTGGATGTAGAGCCCGTAACATAGGCTGTTGTGCTGGTGCTGGTCCTCATTCTTGGGCCACCTGCACTGTATCAGGCCGGCCCAGGCCTATAGCAGGCTGTGCCTGCCTGGCATGAATGAGCAAAGAGGGGAGCCCGGCACAAAGCCAGCCCTGCTGGTTTTCTGTTTGTTTTTTTGCCAAGTAAAAATGAATGAAAAATTGAAAAAAATAATGGAAAACTAACAAAATAAACTGAGGTAGACAACAAATTGAAAAAAAAAAAATCTGAAGTTGTTATATAGTTGTTAGGGTGCATTTAAATCATTTTATGCCCCTTAAGGAAAAATACACAAATGCCCCCCAAACTAGTTGTTTATAGCTGTTGGGGGGGCATTTCAGTCAATTTGGGCCCCCTAAAGCTGTTATAGTCATTGGAAATGGGCCCTCAATGGCTATATTCTCGTGGACTGCGCATGCCAGATCTGCGTCGGGCTGTGCCGTGGACCGTGCTGGTGTGGGCCCTTTTTTGGGTTGTGCCAGCCCGGGGCAGCCCAGCCCACATTATAGCTCTATTTTTTTATTAATTATAGCAGTTTCATTAAGAATTAGAACAGAATACAATGAGTGCAAATAAAGAGGTATGCTCTCTTAACTCTCCTAAAAAAAAATCTTTAAAAAAAATTATTACAATTAAGCCCAAAAAAAGTTGGTTTCTTCCTACCCCTTGTTTTGCTGGAAAATCATCATAGGCATTAGTAGTTCTTTTAACCCACATAAGTCTCACATCCATTATCTTGTGTCAGCTATTTAAATTTCTTTCTTTCTCTGTTTTAGTTCTGAAGTCCATCTTCTTTTTGCAGCCATCGCACCACCAGCTTTGAATCACCTTCAATAATCAGCTTACTAATGTTTATATGTTTTGCCTTTTGCACTCCCTCCACTAGAGCCATAATCTCAGCCCTTAAGGAATTCCTACACCAATTGGGCCTGAGAATAAACTAATAATTCTGCCTTCCTCATCTCTAAAATTGCCTCCAATGCTGGAAGGACACATCACAGCTATATTTGAATGTTCATTTGACCAACTATATGAATGAAATGTTAAAACATCAGTTCTGGTGACTTTGATGTGTTGACTTGCATTAGTATATCAACTTCTGATTAAATAATGAACTTTCTATTATTTGAATTTTACCATTAAGAAAACTGATAAATTAGTATTAAAATGGCATCATGTCTTATATCACAATCAATAGCCACTAGGGCTGTCAATGGACTCCTAATGTCTGAAACCTGATCCAACAGGTGATCCCAATCCAATCCAAGATCATTTTATCTGATTGGGATTTCTGATAGGATTTGGATTTCAGTTTTCACCAATCAGATTGGATTCAGATGATCTGATTATATCCCTACTAGCCAATTGGGTCTGGCAGAAAGTTTGTATAAAACAGTGAAATTGAATCTTGTCTGTTGTTTCTCCCCATGCCCTTTAACCTTTATAATAACCCTCTTTAAGTGGAACAATTTTGGCTTATGCTAAAAAAAGAAAAGGCTTCATTCCAATCTAACCAAATCACTAAAAATGATGTTGAGACTTCACAAAAAGTTGATCTGATGATTGTATCAATGGCATAAGATGAAAACAAAGTTATACTGAACTTGATGAATATAGCATCCAAGACTACATGGTCCTTCAGGTCTATGTGGATGAAATAATTTTTATTCAAACTTATGGAGACTCCCTTTTACATGTTTTTTAGGCATCTAAGTATCTAACAATTGTTTTTTGATAATTTATGCATCTAACAATTATAGCATGTCCTTTTAGTGTAAGCCAATTGCAACTAGGAAATCGTTATGTAAAACCTGTAACTGTATTTCTTCTTTTGGCTGCTACAGTTTATGATGTGACACGGCGTGAAACATTTACAAACCTTTCTGATGTATGGGCAAAGGAAATCGATCTCTATTCAACAAATCAAGATTGCATTAAAATGCTGGTTGGAAACAAAGTAGATAAGGTACTTTATACTTATTGGTTGAAAATTATCCTTTTCCTGAGACTTCTAGTGTCAGGTTGATGATAAGAATCTTTGGATAAAGCATTAACAAAGTAATTTATGAGAGATAATACGAATTGAATTTTATGTTGTTTTTCTTTTCCTGTTTTGCCAGGAAAGTGAAAGGGTTGTCACAAAGAAAGAGGGACTTGAATTTGCAAGGGAATATGGATGCCTTTTTATTGAATGTAGTGCTAAAACAAGAGTTAATGTGGAGCAATGCTTTGAGGAGCTTGTCTTGAAGGTATTCATGATTTAAACCTCTTTTGTTTCTTTTCCATGTAAATATGGAATCTTTAAAATATGTTTTAGGACTTGAATAAAGAATATGTAGATTCTAGAATGATCATGGGACCTTCTCTGGTAATGTACTAAATGGTTTCACTAGGTGGTCCATACAGCTGTGATTGCCTTGGCAAGTCCATCTGTGGTTGAGTTGGCAGATGCCGCAGATCTTGGAGTCCAGCTCAATGAATAAGGATGTTGGCATGTTGCCTCTATAATGATGTAACTCGAACTCCATGATACAAACTTCTTTGAATATATCCATATGTTGCCAGTCTAGGTAATCCCTACCAATGCAGCGGGTATTCAGGTAAGACTGGCGACGGCATCCCTACGGAAGACAAAATTAGGGTACGTTGTGTAGGGAAGCTCCCTGTCGACCTAATTAGGGTAACTTTTCCTATTGTTGTGAAATTCATCCTTAAGAGCACTCTGCAGAGCTGAAGTCAGCTTTGCAAAAGAATTATTTTCAGCTCAAAGATTGTTCCCCAACCCTTCTGCCTACAGGTTTGAGAACTAAGGAATATTTGTCTTTTTGCTTAGTTCTTTTTGTTAAGAAGTGAATAGGAGGCGCCATGAATTATTTTTGTTCGTTTTGGGAATGTGATGGGATGTATCATGTTTGATGATAACAAATTTGATGACGGTCATGCATGGTAATATGCACAGATCTTGGATACGCCTAGTCTCTTGGCTGAGGGTTCAACTGGAGTGAAAAGGAACATTTTTAAACAGAAGCCTCCACCAACTGATGCATCGACCAGCACTTGTTGCTAATATTGATCACCGGCCAAGATTTCTCATTTATCCAACTGCAGCGGTTTCAGTGATTGTGGTGGTGGTTTCTTTCCAGGTCACTTGTGTAATCCATGTTTGATGGGGAATTGTAAAGTTTGTTGTGATTGCGCATTCTTCTCATAAGTTATTTGTGAATACTGCAACTATTAAGTTTGATGTAGCGCATGCTTCTCAGTTAATTCCAGAAATTCACGAGTTTCTGTTTAATCTTTTCCTTGTTTCTTGGCCACTGCTCCAAGTTATAAACTTATGAGGAAGTAATCAATTAAATCTTAGAAACGGGCATTCTGTATTCATCTATTATTTTAATGAAAGGTTAATCCCTCCCGCCTGGCTAAAGAGACAGCTTAGCAAATCTTAATGATGTAAATTGTTTGCTGTTTAACTAAATCGCTTTATTCAATGTACATTTGTACTGAATATACTGGAAGATGGTCTCAATTCAGATGAAAGCATGTATCACTTTGGCTCAAGTAGTCACGTAGGATGAATTTAGGGTTGATGGGTTGTCCTTTGATCATCGGGAACACCACTTGCAGCAAACTTCGAGAGAAGTAGAAGAGATCGTGCAATGCAAATCGGGCCGGGTTAGATTGGGTTCAGGGCAATCCTAATCCAACGTAAGCTGTTGAACCCTTAACCCTAACTAATTAATCTTTTAAGTTTTGGGTTGGGTTCGGGTTACCCTACTTCTCTACTTTTTGCATAATGTTCTTATTTTCTGGACTAAGAGCCAAGGTCATTTCAGTTTTGGCGTATGAGGTTGGGTTTGAGTTGGCCAAATTCCTGACATAATGTAGTTTAAATTGGGTTTATTCTTGTGGTTTAGCTAATTGACTAATGCTATTTTATTCTCTCTGACAATTGATTAATACTTCCTTTATCGTTAGTGTCCTTTAATCTTTATTCTTTTTAAAATTTTAAAATAAAATAAGGAAAAGGGGAAAGAGAGAGAATACATGTCCAGTCTACTTCTCTATGGTTTTTACGGTATTGAAATCATGCTCTGGTTCCACCGCTGCTTTCTTCTTCCCAATTGCAACTGCCGGAGACCGACCAAGAGAAAAATTGAAAGAGAAATTAGAGGGGTTTTCCCAGCTGCCGAAAGAAAGGGTTTAGACGGAGAAAGTTTGAAAGAGAAATTAGGGGGTTTGGATGGCCGGTTTTTTCTTCAGTGAAAGTGAGCATCATGGACACGCGTCCCGCTGAAATCCAAAACAGTTTCTCTTTTGGTGAAAGGACGGTGAGTTGAAGTTTCTTGCTTCCCAATTTTTCTCGTATGCCTCCTCTTCATTTACTGCTTCAAGAGAGAGAGGAGAGAAAGGAGGAGGGAGGGAGCAGAGTAGGTAGAGCAAAGGGCGATCCTGAGACCATGGAAGGAGTCGGGGATGGCGCCATCTCGCTATCACCCTGGAAGGACACAGTAGCGGCTGCTGTTGAGACTGTTGAAGCCATCGAGGAGACCATCGCGGCTGCCGCTGAGACTTATTCTTTTATCATTTTGGCCTCTCCCAACCATTCACTAAACTCCCTACCCTCTGTTACTGTATCAGTTGATCGGAATCAGCAAGAGCATCCACCTTATGAGATCGGGTTCCTCTTGGATTTCGAACAACGAATGTTGCTCTCCTCACCAGCCTATTAGTAGCTCGCGCCCAGACGAGCGTGTTTTCCTCCCCAAACTCCCTATTGTAATTCGTTGGTCGTCCTTGTTGTTAGGAGGTTAGGAGCTGCACACTCCCGGTTCCCTGGTTCAGTCGATTGAACATTCAAATCTTCTTCAGTAGTGGGTTGACCTCCTTGGTTCAGTCAATTCCCAGTTCCTGAACATAAACGGACGGTATGGTGCTATGGGTACAGCTTATAATCCTCCTCCATAGCAGCTGCCGCTGAGAGTATCGCCACCATGAAGACGAGCACGGTTGCCTTGGAGAGGTTCACTTGCACCATCGTCGAAGGGAGTATTGAATCGTGTGATAATAGTACTAATATAGAGGAGAAGAATCTCTGTTCTCTGTAGAAGTGCATAGGTTTATGTGATTATTTATAGCAGTGGCGGTGAAGAGAGGCGTCAGACGTGGACTGTGTACAGAGCAATATTCGGTCTCCTTCCCTGTGACTTACTTGGTGAGCTTATAAGAAATCGTTCCTATTCTCTCCCTCTCCGATCTACAAATTCAGATGATCGTCTAAGCCGTCTTCTGATGCAACTACCGTCATTGATGCCAATTATGAGTGTCAACTAAAAATGGCATTAATAGCCTATATGGTTGTTGCAGTTTCGGAGCCGGTGCCAGTGCATTGATGGAGATGCTGGTGCTGGACCTTATTTATAATAAGGGTAAGTTGGGTATTTTGGAAAGCTATAACAGTTACGCGACACGCATTTGAATGATTTATGACCGAAATGTTAAGGGTAAAAGAAGTATAAGTTAATTGTCAGATATAGTAAGGGTAGCATTAGTCAAATTTTAAACAGTAAGGAAACATTTAGTCAATTAGCTAACCAATAGTTTAAGAAATTTATCTTTCTATTTAACCCTAACCTGAATTCCAATCTCACTCAACCTACAACTACCTTAATGATAAGCGAACCTTTTTTGGAATCATTGACTCATTGTATCTTATTCAAGGTTCAAAAAATCAACATGTATCAGCCCGTGTTGTTTGATACGCCCTCTATTTAGGATGTATTGGTAGTTTTTTTTTTTTTTCAAATCTAGTTTGGGATAGCTTGTACCAATCTTGTACTAATAATAAATAAACTTTTACTTATTCATTCTATTAAATAAAATTAATTATTTATTTATTTATCAGCCACACTCTCTCTCTCCTTGGAGCCCAAGATTTAGAAGGGTCTGATTTGGATTGAGATAGCCTATATCAGTCTCGTCCTAACAAAGTTTTTATTTATTTTATTAAATTAAGTGAATTGTTATCTATAAACTCTTATTTATTTTATTTACTCAGTTATTTGTTTATTTAAAAATAATTTACTAACAAAAATTGGACCCATAATTGTCCTGATTAATACTCTCTTTCAATACCTTCTCTCCAAAGTTCAAAGTATCGGAAACGCAAGGTGTATCAGAAAGGTAACTTTAAGAGACATATCGAGATACGCTTTGGAAATGTATAGATATGGACGAAAAATCAAGATATTCCTGCATACACTAAAAAATCCAAAAGAATCCTTAAAAATATGAACAATAATAAAAATGAGTTTTATGTGAGTATAACTAATGTATTTAAACACAAAAACCATTCTTTAATGATTTATATAAAGTATCAGGATATAATTAATAACCATTGAAAAATAATAGAATAACTAAAATGTGTGTATGTATATACTAATATTTATTAGTTAATATTTTTTTGAAATCATTTATTAGTTAATATTTATTATATATAGATTTAGATAATATTTATTATATATAGATTTAGATAATATTTATTATGTATACAAGTTAATATATACCTTAATTTTTAATAAATAAATATAACTTGTATTCATCTTATTATAATATAAATATTAATAATCAAATTTATAGTATTTGTTGGGAAACATCCACCAAAGCAAGAAATGTTACTTTAAGTATAAAAAAAAAACATATCATTTAATAAGTAATTAAAGTTGGTATAACAGTTAATTAATTATTATTATAAGCAAATGACTTGGGTTCAAAACTTGTTACCTTTGGTTTGTGATTTTTAACAAGTTATTTCACTTAAATAACATTTAATGACATATTAAATGTTGTAATCAAAGGTAACTTAAATGAGCATTTAATTAAATTATATTAGCATTTAGTGACATCTCAAACTTTAAGACTTAAATAAAATTAATATTAATGAGAGAGAGAAGAGATAATTTAAATTTAAATTTAAAAAGAAGAGGGAAATTAGATTCGACTGGTACATAATGCGTATCGGCGCATTTCGGGTTGTATCCACCGATACATACCCGAAACAATCCTATGCAAAGCTGATATAGACCCGTATCGGTCTGATACAGATGAAAAAAATACAAAACCACGTAATTATACATGTCCATATATAAGAACTCTTTCGAAATGATACGTATATACGTTGCGAAATTTAAAACCTTGCTTATCTCTCCTCGAGCCCAACATTTAGTGCTATCAACGAATTAACAAATTATTATTTTGTTAATACCCTTTGTGTCGATGCCATTTATTGATTATTTTCTGATTTCCTCAGAACTTTTATTATTGTTATTGATTTTTTATTTTTATATAATAAGAATGAAATCAAGGAAACATTGTTCCATAATTTATATGTGGTAAGCATTGCTAATTTCCCAAAGAAATAGGGTGATGGTGGATGATTTTTAGAATGCTAATGGGGTGGGGAAAGGACAAGGAGACACTCCCTATCCATGTTCCTGCAAAAATTCCGATCCTCATACCTGTTGGTGGGGACAAGGTTATCCCCATCTTTGCCCCCATAGGAATTCCCACTCCCCGTTCTTTTTCTATGATGTTAACTATTGTGTTTTTGATTTTTCATTTCATTTAAAAAATTAAAATAAAATAGTTAAAATTTATAAAATAAAAAATTATTTAAAATTTACAATCTCCTATTAAAAAAGATCCAAATATATTCAAACACATTCAACTATATTTTTAAAATATTAATATATATACATACATAGATACATGCATACATATATACATATATAAGTAGGGATCCCCAAGGGGCAAGGCTTACGGGCCCAAGGAAAATTGCCATCCTAATAATCATTGCTATATTGCTAATTTCCTAGAGAATCAATGTTTTTATTTTCTCACTGTATATATTGATAATTATTGATTAGAATAATTATCACATAATCAATTATTCTTCAGGGTTGTAATAATCTTTGTGCATTACGGTTATGAAAAAGTCTATTTTTTCATAATGTTATTTTTTTCTAGATTTTATTTAAAATTTTATTTTTCATATTAAATAGTTTTTACTATTATATATATATTTACATTAGATACACGTGCATAACACATGCCCTTCTGCCAGTAGTGTTAAGAGTATTAGATAGATTTAATTAAGAGAGTTTATATAAGGAAGAAACACCTTAAATATATATGATATAATGAGAGAAAATAAGAATTAATATCTTAAATTTAAGACTTAATGAGAGGGAATTAAATGAGGTGACATGTAGTAGTTCAAATTGCATTTCTTGCCATCACAATTAGAGTAAAGGCACTAAATTCAGAAAAGGGATATCTTAGTTAAAAAAAAAAGTTACACAAGGTGGT